CCACTAACCCTAATGATTCATCCACCATTCCACCTAATTGTCCACTTCCAATTATAAAATCCTTCAAAAACCGTGCAACACTTAAAGAATCATATATATGCAGCCAATTCCTCAATCAGCCGGGCCTTTTTCACACCTTATTCACTCAAAAAGCCTTGCCATATCCCATTACTAAATCCATCATCCGTGCATTCCAAAAAAAAACCTAACACTAATTAGGCCATTCATTCCATTTACTTCCCATTATTCTCCCCCTAAGCCGCAAGCCATTCCCTCATTTTCAGAAATCAATCCGTGCCATTCCCCTACCATACCAACCTTCCTCCATCACCTTACACACCTTCCTACACCACCAATCCTCCCTAAATCCATCCCTAACCCAAAATAAAATCCAAATCATCCATTTAACCTCACTGCCGCAGAAGGAGAAGAGGAAAGAGGAGCTTCGACGCGCACCAATTCACGTGGATTCGTTGGGCGTTCTAGGTGTAATCAATCCTTTGTGCTTTATGTTTAAATTCATTTGTAATTCTCTTTTTGTGAACATGAGAGGCTAAATCCCCCTAGTTAGCTAGGGGGTGATTCGAAACCATGGTTATACTTGCAATATGAATTGATTATATTTGGTTGGAATTTCATGAATGTTGGATTCAATTTGTTTAACCGTTTGAGTGATAACTTATTTATGAATGTTTATTAAGAATGCGCGCTTAATTTTCATGCATAAATATGACGCTAGAATATAAGTGAATTTCACCTAATCGTTATAAACTTATATTCACAAGTAGTGGAGGTTGCTTATAAACAATCGCGTTAAATGAATTCTTGGCACGAGTATCATGCTTTTCATAGTTACAAATGCCTCGTCGATGCTTATAGTTTTCATAATACTTAATGATCTTTGATTGTATCTTTATTGTGCTGTTCACGTAAAGGACTTTTGGAGAATGTTGTGAATTGCGTTGCGCAAACCCATCCAATTCATTAACTTAAGGAAAATTTGAAGGTTAATTTAAGCGGACCTAATTAACCCGGGGCGTTGAGTTTCATAATTTATCGAAAGACCAACTGAGAATCAATTTTGTATGCAAGTATAACATGTGTGGAGATGAACCCCTTGGCTATTCCATCATCCATATTTTCATCTCATTCATATTTACGTTTTGCCTTTAATTACAATTTTTCCATTTAATTTAATATTGTCCAAACACAATCCCCCCTTTATTTTATTGTCAAATTAGTTAGAAATCAATTTAGTTTAGTGTTTTATATTGTTTTTACGTTTTTAAGTCAAAAATCCAAGTGATTAACAATCCCTCCTAATCCCCGGTCCAGAACGATCCCTACTTATACTTATACTACAATTGTCAAAAAGAGGGTTTAATTTGTGCGCATAAAACTCGCATCAAAACTTTCTGAGTTGTAACATTGCTAGTTCTCTTTGGAATTATGTCAAACTCAGGGGGAGTATCTTGAAGTATAGTTGCTTGATCTTAATGTACTCTTTTTCCCTACGGTAATGAGCATTTTTCCCACTAGGTTTTTGCTACCTAACTAGGTTTTAACAAAACACCCACCTTAGGTTGATCATATCCCTGATGACGTCCCATAAACGTTTCTTTTGACTTTGCATTACTCACGCATTTTTACTTAGACTATGGATTTTGTCCTTGCTCGGGTTTTTGCCATAGCCTTAGGATGTTTTAGTGAGACTAACTTCCTTCTGCAAGTTCCTACCTCATTGAGAATAGCGTGTTCCCATAATTAGTGTCGATGAGTCGACTTCCTCAACTTCTACATGATGTTGAATCTACCTTCAGTATTTACACACTCAAGGGGGAGTGTTATAAACTTTCCTAGTTTAAATATGATTGTGTAAATCCTAGGTTAGATTTTATTCTAGTTATTCTTTCCTATATGGACTTGTATTCCTTGGGGATGAAAGATTTCTTCTCCCTCTTATTACTGTAAATAAAGGCACTACGTAGGGGGAATAACACATCCTCAACACAAATATTCCTCTACAATTCTACAAACAGATCTCTCTCTCTTTTCTCTCCTGGCCGCTGGCCCCCCTTCCCCTTGTTAGATAAAATAGGCTACAGAGTGTATTCAATATGAAAAGTAGATATATGGGAATAGCATGTGTATAGTACGAGTTTAAAATGTATAATTTAACAAATCATTGAGGCATATACGTAATACAAAAATATTTTTTAAAAATATGTAAGTATATTATAAAAAAAAATATGTAATATATTATACACAAAATTACTAAGTATGAAACTGATCCTACTATAATATCTACATGCGTAGTTGCTGCCGGTCGATCCATGTGTAGCAGTACAAGGCTTTACTAATATAATACCTGCATGCGTATTTGTTGCCGATCCATGTGTAGCAGTACAAGGCTTACTAATATAATACCTGCATGCGTATTTGCTGCCGACCCATGTGTAGCAGTACAAGGCACACACATTAAAAAAAAAAAAAAAAAAAAAAAGGAAAAATTAGTATCCGGTCCTTAGTTTTTAATGTTTATTGACTAAAATCTTATTAGTTTTTAAATTTTGATCAAAGTCCCTAGCATTAATATATTAATGAATTACATGTAAATTACATAATTTTTATAATAAAAATTAGTAATTGATTTAGAGTTTTAATACTCACACCCTTATTAAACTCCTAATTAATTTCAATTCTAACATTTTCAAAAAGTAAAAAATAAAATTAGAATAAGTTTGTACCCATTAAATTTTTATATAAAAAATTATATGTACCCATTCTTAAATATACTAATTTGTTATATGAAAAATTACCCTTTTTTAATATAAAATTACCCATTTTTATATAAAATTCATTCAATCTTTTCTCTAATCCATTTTTTAAACTTATATGGGTACATTCTATTTTGTTGGTTAGTTTTTTATGAACGTACCCATGTATACATGTAACATCCCACATCACCCAGGAGAGTGATCCTTATATGTATATTCTCATCCTTACCTAGCACGAGGCCTTTTGGGAGCTCACTAGCTTCGGGTTCCATGGGAACTCCGAAGTTAAGCGAGTAGTGCGCGAGAGCATTCCTAGGATGGGTGAGCCATCGGGAATTTCTAGTGTGAGTTCCCAAAAATAAAACCGTGAAAGCGTGGTCGGGGCCCAAAACGGACAATATCGTGCTACGGTGGTGGAGCGGACCCGGGAAGTGGTCTCCCCCGGGCCGGGATGTGACAATTTGGTATCAGAGCCTAACCCTGGTCGTGGTGTGTCGACGAGGACGTCGGGCCCCTAAGGGGGGTGGATTGTAACATCCCACATCGCCCATGGGAGTGATCCTTATATGTATATTCTCATCCTTACCTAGCACGAGGCATTTTGGGAGCTCACTGGCTTCGGGTTCCATGGGAACTCCGAAGTTAAGCGAGTAGTGCGCGAGAGCATTCCCAGGATGGGTGACTCATCGGGAAGTTCTCGTGTGAGTTCTCAAAAACAAAACCGTGAGGGCGTGGTCGGGGCCCAAAGCGGACAATATCGTGCTACGGTGGTGGAGTGGGCCCGGGAAGTGGTCCCCCCCCCCCCGGGCCGGGATGCGACAATACTCATATTATATTGGAGAGTATAATTTATCTTTAATATTTTTAATCTCATAAATTATGCGTTTATTTAAAATCTCATTAATATAAATAACTACAAATTTCATTTTTAGTTTAAAAATAAAATAAATATATTATTACATTAACGTCAGGGATTTCGATCAAAAACTAAAAGTCACAAAGATTTTAATCAAAGAACATTGATAGTTAGGGACCGCATCCAAAGTATCCCGAAAAAAATTGTACGTTGGGAACCTTTTTACGACCTTCAATATTTTTAGCCTTAATGTTTGAATATTGATGTGACAAACTATATTTTACACGTGGATCTAGATATACACACTTCGAAAAATATATATGATTCCTTTCAAACGGACCAAGGAATATGGTCCCCGATACATATAAATCCCAATCAATATATATGTGATCATCCCAGGTTCATATCTGCCACCTTCGCGAGGCTTATAATAATATCATCTATAGTAATTTAATATTCAACTTGTTAGTTATAAGAGTCGAATTTAAGATATTTTCAACTTATAAAGTGAAGAGGATCACTAGACCGTAACTTTCAATGATTTAAATACGTCACTTTATACTACAATGTGCTATTTCTTTTCACCTGTAAAGGAGAATTTTTAGATTTGAATCTTATGGATAACGAATTCAAGATCAGTTTATTCTCCACCATTTAATTTATATCGTTGAGTTGAAAAAGTGGCACAAAATTTTGATTATGTTTTTGTTCATTTCCCAAATTGTGTAATGAAGTTAACAAACTAAATATGCAACCCTGCAGGAAAAAACACAAAGAATTCCTTGGTGCTATTATATTTTGACAAGGTTTGAAGTTGATAGTACATGAATTAAAAATGAAAGAAAATTTTTCTATTTTTACATAATAGTAGATGAAAATTTTGGGTTCGACCTTCATGCTACATAGCATTAAAGTATTTGATAGTCTGAATTCATAGGAACACAATAAAGGCAACAATTCAAATCAATTTAGGTTATTCAACGCTTATAGCATTAATGTTACATAGCATAAAAAAATAAAAAAAAATTCTTTATTTGTTTTCTAAATTTTTGGGTCATCTTTGTGGACTGCCCATCCACTATCAAAGGTGGTTTTGGATGGAAACAAAAGAAATTCTTGAAAAGATAGAATTGGTTAAATTAGACTGGGCTAGATGCATCACTCATCACCACGACTATAAAGCCTGCAAAATTTGTAACTAAAATCAGCCCAAACCTTATCCTCTTTCGCCTTTACTATACAAATGCCTCAGAGAAGGGCCAAAATTCCCCGGCTGTTTTTGGTTAGGCCATCATCTCCAAACTGCTATAAATACACCACGCAAACCATCCATTTTCCCAAGCAAAAGCACAAGCTAGCTATCAAGCTTTATTGTATATTCACTACTAAGAAAAATGATGAAGGGCATTGTGATCTCAATATTGGTTGTGCTAGCCATGGCTCATCTAATGGTACAGCAAGGAGAGGCCATTGTCAATTGCGGCCAAGTGGACTCAAACTTGGCACCTTGCGTTTCCTACCTGTCCAAAAGGGGTAGTCTTGACCCTGCTTGCTGCGCCGGGGTGCAGAACATCAAGAACCTCGCCCAAACCACAGCTGATAAGCAGGCTGCTTGTGAATGCTGTAAGGCAGCGGCGAACCGCTTCCCCAATGTTGACGAAGTTACAGCTTCTACTCTCCCAGGCCAGTGTGGGATTGCGATGAATATCCCCATCTCAAAGACCACCAACTGCCAGAGGTGAGTGTCTTAATTTTTTTGCCCTAATTAAATTATATATCTTGCTTATATTGATATTGCAGGTCATATATATAAGCTTACTAAGATTTCCCCTTTTCTCTGACCAGCATAAACTAAGCTGGAGGTGATCAGAAGGGCAGGAAATAAATCAAGAGAAAGCTTTAAGGGTTATATAATGATGCCATTATCTGCTCAATTCTTGTATTAATAAAAATCTCTGTATTATTTCCTGTCCAAATAATGATTAGTTATGGATGATTTGAGAGACCTAGTTATATATATTCATTTCCCAGATATTTAAAAGATGTTTTTTTTTTTTTTTTTTTTTTTTTTTTGTTCCCCTTCTCTAATTCAATACGTGTGCGCTGATTAAGCCGCATAAAAATTCAGAATAGATTTGATCTGTTGCCAAAGCAAAGTAGTGATGCTGTTGATCAAGAACTTGTTCAAAACCAAGTAACAACCATGCACAGATTAAAGCTGAGGTCATCTCTTATTCTGTAGTCGGATAAACAAAGTTCCGAACGAAAGAGAACATACAAGCACAGTAGCAAAAATGCTGCCACGTCATGAGCAACCCTATATTGAATTTCCACATATTTAAAAGAGAGAAACTGGCTGAAAGAGGCAGCTAATGGCACACACCGATCCCACATTGAGCCTTTGTCTAATAAATCTTTTGTTTTAACAATTTCAATAGACTGCCCGGTATTTTTATTGCAAAAAATGCACAGGTCTATGACAAATTTTGCGGAGTAACTTCCCGATTATCTCAAAGAAGGATGAAGCTTCTGTTTGAGGATCATTGTCAAAAATCAAATTCAAAGAATCTGCACTGAGATTGCAGAATAAAAAAAAACACACAGTGAAAGAGGCAAGAAATGTAAAGGGCGGAAACAAGAATTTCGTTGCAAATGAACTGATTGCCATCCAAGAGAATCGGACACATTAACTAGCAAAACGATTTCATATCAAACAAACAAATATACAACAAATATAAAATTATGTTGTCTTCTTGAACGAAGCATGAAAATACAAAGTGGAAGAAGTAAACTTTTATTAATTTGAATGGCTAATCAGTTTACATCTAAGCCAAAATACATAAACATATCAAATGAATAATACATCATCAACACTAAACATCATCATAACTATCCAGAAATTTCAAGGTCTCTGTTGCCACCATGGTGGCGGGCTGATCGGAATGATGGAGGAATCAAGCACCTTGCTCCTACAAACAGGGCACTGCATCTCAGAAGTGAAGAAGTGCAGCCATTTGTCCAAGCAATCCCCGCAAAACAAATGACCACATGGAGTCACCACGGGCTCTCTTGCCATCTTCACACACAACTTGCAGTCGAAATACTCTTCAGATCTCGGGGGAGATAATGGCTCTGGCCTACTCACTGGGCAGAATGAATCATCTCCAGCGTCAAGTTGAAGGCTTCCATAATCATGGCTATGTGGGGTACAAGTCCTGCATTCAAGTTCACTTTCATGAGAAGAAGTTGAATCGCAGGTTGAATCAACAGCAGCATCAGAGGTATCATCATCATCATCATCATTACAAGGACTTGAGAAAGGCTTGACTTTAGAACCATAAAAGTCGGCAGATTTTTCTTCCGGTTCTGGAGAATAAGGTTCTTCATAATCGTCTTCTGTTTCTGTACGAACTACTTCATGGTATTCAGGTTGACAGTCAGCATCCTCTAAATCATCATCAGAGTGACAGACGATATCATCAAGTTGACTGCTTTCGCACTCGTAATCTTCATCATGATCATAACCAAGTTGACAGGTTTCGTGGTGCTCATATCCTTCTTGTGATTCTTGGAGATTTGAAACAGCATCATCATCCAGCTCACAGCTTTCGGGCTCGCAAGTTACATGGTATTCAGGTTGACAGTCAGCATCCTCTAAATCATCATCAGAGTGAAAGAGGATATCATCATTATCATCAAGTTGACTGGTTTTGCGCTCGTAATCTTCACCATTATCATCACCAAGTTGACAGGTTTCGTGGTGCTCATATCCTCCCTGTGATTCTGGGAGATTTGAAACAGCATCGTCATCAAGTTCACAGCATCCGGGCTCGCAAGTTACATAACCTGAATGATCAGGAGAATGAGCGTACTCAAAAGGGTCATCATGTTGAGGAGTGCCGATGCAACTCTTAACTTCAGAACCAGAAGAAGAAAACTGTTGAGATTCTTCTTCTTCAGGGAGGTTTGTGAAGCGAAAAACCTTAAATTTCTTGATAACACGCATCCGAGGCTTCCGGGGTTTAAACGCACACTTGACTTGCGGTGGTATTATACTTTTGCGGTTGGAATTGGGAGCCATTGATTCAAAAAAGGCAGAGACTGCAAATTGCAGAGCGAGATTGCAACGAAATCAAAGACGAACGAAGAACTAATCACACCCGGAATGTAGAGAAAGAAGAAGAAACTGGAAACTGCTGAGAGAGAGTATATTTTGGGGGTTTCTAAATCACATATATATATATATAGTAATAGCATATTAGGGTTTCAGGGGCTGAATCATGATTCGTAATAGAGGGTGGATATGAATCCTGATTCGTAATTCTATTCCAACTCCTAGTTCTACTCTAATTCCTAATACTACCGGGATTAGGAAACGTGGGCCGCAAGCTTTCTCCTTTTCGTTTTTTATTTTTATTTTTTTAATAAAAAACAAGAAAAATGAAAAAAAAAAAAAAAATAGAATTTTGAATTTGAGAAATAAAAGTTTGCCGTTGCAATTAATAGTGCTTTGCTGTTGCAGCCACCGACTTAGCACGCACTTGGTGTTGCGGGGGGCGGCTAATGGAGCTTCTCTACCGACTCTGTTAGAACCATATTATTGGGCCTATCAACTCTCTTTCGGCCCATGTTTTTTAGCTTTTAACTTGTTTTGTAGTTTCTCATCCCTTGGAACGATGTAGTTGTGGCTGCGTTTTCTTCTTTTAGCTTGGGTTTTTCCTTTTCAGCTAAGTATAAATAAGTAATGCTGTGCTCTATAGGGCTTTATGCTGAATGAAATAAATCCTCTTTCCTTTTAAAATCTCAAATCTCTTTCTCTTTTCTTTACATTTCTTACATTGTTTCTATTTACTTTACAAGCCCATCATCCTGAATCGATTAGGCGTACCAATTGGTATCAGAGCCCATCGATTCGATGGGCAAAAACACCTAGTTCACCATCTCTGATCTAGATGCCGTCACTGCCGCGATGGATGTTCGTCAGGAGCACCTTCCCACGCAAGTGGAGGGTTTCTGTGATTCCATCTTAACCCTTGAAACACAACAACCAACCTCCAAAAATCGTTCAACCACATGAACGATTTGAACACAACCTTTCAAAACACAATGACCTCACATTTTGCAGTGTTTCAATCGTTGATGATTGACGAACTCCGCATTCTCAATTCTGGTCCTTTTACTTCCCAAACCATTACTGCTTCACCCACCACAAACCCAGCCTCTTTGCACCCTCACCACTTGCCCACTCAAACCCAAGGCCCTCGCCCTTCCATTGAAGGAAATATTTGTTAAAACTAGTTCATTTGAGCAATATCTATGCATGCTATTAACAATTAAAAGGCAGAATCATGCTTGTATTCACTCCAAAAACAAAACTTTACACATGAAATTCAAGGCCTAGTAATTGTGGTGAACCAAGACTCACTTCGTCGAGAAGGCTGATGAGATGACCTCTACCAACAAGGACTTGAAAATCCTTGTCAACCGAGCCTTGGATAGGTAATCAGTCGGCTGAGAAGTAGTGCTGTTTATCCAAACTAAAGGTGTTCCTTGATCGGCTGATTCTACAGCTCCAATGCTGTTTTTCCAAATTGAAGATGTCGTTGGTTGCCTTCACAGTGTTTTTTTTATCCAAACTAAAGATGTTCGACGGGAAAAAGAAAATAAAATTCTCAAGGTTGTTAAGAGGTTTCGAGTAGAGCGAGAGTTTGTGCAGGGAAGTTTGTGTGTTGCATCGGAGAGGTTTGAATGATGCACTACCTGCTCTATTTATAGCAGTGAACCTACTAACCGAACCAGAGATGTACTCAGACTAGAACTCCTTATCCTAATCTAATTAGGATTGCGCCAATCCGAGTTCCAATCGGTTCCTGAACTAAGCTCTATAATGAACCAGATTCATTTCCTAATTCCCAACGCCTTCAGCTTTGAGACCCCTCATTGTACCAGGATTAGACCTTTATGATGGCTGGACAACCCACAATACTTTTGGAAGGGTACTGGGCTGAGACCAAACCTAGGCTCGCCCCAATAATATTATTTTGGGCTCAAATAGATACATACAAAGCAAATGAGGTCAATCTCCTCCTACAACTAATTAGGTTGAATGGAAAACATAATGTTGTACTAGCAGAGAGCACACACTTTGTGTGTGTGTGTAAACAATTTCTATTAATAAGTGCATATTTTTTTTAATATTACATAATTACTATTTTGTCTTCCTTATGTAAATATTGTGTATCAAAAATGAGGGTAAAATTGGAAAAATAAGTATATGATTGTCATTTTCTCAAAAAAAAAAAAGGGTAAAATAGGAAAAATAGGGATATAATTGTCATTTTGTCAAAGGGTACAAAATTACTATTTTGCCCTCTTTTTTGTGAATAGTGTCTATCAAAAGTGAGGGCAAAATAGGAAAAAAATGGAAAAAAAGTTGACGAGGAGGGTTCTCTTATATATGGCCAGTGTGCGAGAAAGTTTTTTGGTTTTAAGATTTAATTTATTTTTTATTTTTTATTTTTGATAAAATTGATGTTCAGTTTACTAAGAGTAGAGCTCGAACTCCAATACAAAAAGCCGAATTAAACACACTGTTTTTGTTGACTGGCCTAATATTAATGTGATTTTGATTTATCAGACTAGGAAGTTATATACCCATAACCGTTTATGTTCATAATCGTATAACCGTTTACCCGTTGGGTAATTGCATAAACGATTATACCCATATCCATAACTGTCTATAAACGATTAACCATGCCCATAACCGTGTACCCATGTAACCATAACCGTTTACCCATTTAACCATAACCATTTACCCGTTTATCCTTTTTTTACCCATTTACCCTTTTTTCACCCGTCTACACGTTTTTTATTTTTTTTAACAACTTGAAAATTACAAATGAAAAATTTGTCATAATTTTTGTTTTCTAACAATTAAACACCGTTATAGATACATTTTAGCATGCATTTCCTTATTTTAATCATTTAAGTCCTCATACAATTCCAATAATTGAAGTAATAGTTTACCAACGATATTTTTTTGCTACACCCAAGCAAGTCTTTAATTATAATCCATATGATTACAAAGTAAAGCTTCAAAAAACAAAAAGTAGTCATTATCTTGAATACTAGATGATTCAAAGCTCTAAAATATTCCGAAATTAAACACTTTCAAATACTAATGCTTTAGCACATTCAATCACAAAGTCTCATTGATTCGTTGTCACCAAAAGAGGCCTACAAAAGAAATGACTATTGATATGAACTCACGACATGCTGCAAGTGAGGTGGGCAGCTTAAATCCTCCAGATTCCAAAGGTTGAGAGCAAAAAGAACAGGACTGTGATTCCACAAAAAATGAAGGTATTTTAGTTCCTTCAGGTGAAGTCCCGCCAGATAAGCAATGCCTGGAAACTTGTCTGATAAAACATGAAGGGAAAAAGACCCATCTCGACCTTTGCAAATCAAAGAACAAGATGGAGCTTATCGTTCCTCACCGTGCTTCAATGAGACTAGCTAGAGATGAGCGAGGAACAGAGTGTTTGAGACCTTGAGTCTGGCGGATAAATTGAAAATTTAGGGTTTTTAATTTTTTATAATTATATATATATATATATATATATATTAAATTAAATGGATAAATGGATACCCTTTATAACAACGGTTAATACCCATAACCGATGGATTCCCGTTATAACCGCAGGTAATACCCATAACTGCCCATTTAAATTTCATGGATAAACGGTTACACCCATAACCGTTTGTTCGTCTAAACGGTTACCCATAATTGTAACCGTGAACTTTAAATAAGTGGGTAACCACGGTTACCCAAACTCATAGGTATTTTACCCATCCCTAATATGCATGCAGTGTTGCAAAGCCATTATATCAATCAATTTCACTGGCCTATGTAGTCATCAAACTACAATAACCAGCTAGCATCAAAATTTACAAAGTTAAAGTTCCATTATAAAATGATTGGCACGTGGAAATCCGATGCTTATAGACACATATAAGGTTCATTATCTTTCGGGTACATGAATTCATACTCTCAACAGCATCCTTTAAGAAAATTGACAAGCCAAACCTTTCACTGAGATATTATGTAAAGCTATCAAGAATAAGGTCACGTACAAACAACTTCAAATCAACTCTTTTCTTTGTCCTCAAAAAGAATTAACGGGAATAGTTTCTTGTCATACAATTTGACATATTATGCTGCTAGATTTCTGTAAGACCTTACATTGAAACATAAGTTCGATTGTCCAACGATTTCAATTGAGAATCAACCAACATAAATTTCAAACAAACAAACAAACAAAAACTAAGAGGTCGTTAGATAATTTTTTTGTTTTGTTTTTAATTTTATATTTTTCTAAAAATGTATTTTGATAACTACTTTCAATTTTAAGTTTTTCAGAAAAAAAAAAAATTGAAAATATAAAACTAAAATCTTAAAGATACTTTCTGTAGTTTTCAAAACGGCTTAATTGGATTAATAGTCCTTTGTGGTAAAATAGTTGGAATTTAAATCATGTGGTCAAGTCTGTTAGGAATGAAGCCCAAAATTGAAAGTTTCATTAACTTTCCATTAACGGATAACACGTGAGCCTCACATGTACGGCTAAAAAGATAAAATTACCTCACATGTAAGCCTTAAGTGGTAACAATTAACGAAGAGTTTTATTTTGACCTCATATGTATCGTTCATGTGCTAAGTTGACTGAACACATGGGTTTAAATCCTAATTTCGGACAAGTCTATCCTCCGACTTCTCTATTAGTACATGGACGAATGATCCAATTAAGCATTTTTAAGATTTGGCTTTCAGTTTTCATATTTTGAAAACTAACTTAAAATTGATGAGTTTTCAATTTTCATTAACGAAATAGTTTCGAACCGCACTAAATTTGCTAGAAAACTAGAAAACTATAAATTTTAATAATCTGATTTTTTTTTTTTTTGAATAATCAATATTATCTACACTAAGAGGGAAATGGTGGGTTTAACCTCACAATGATCTAATAATAATGTAGTTCAAATTCGTCTTTGGTGAGAATCGACCTTAACACCTTTCACTTATAAAAGAAAATGAATATTATTAGACCGTAATAATAAATCGTGAATCTTATTAAACACTGTAAGTTGTAACTTTACGATCTCTAAATCCGTATGCTTGAAATCACTACATCCCAGCCGAACCGACCGCATGCCGAATAAAATGCGTACGGCCATTTGATTAAAAAATTATAATATACGGACCCAACGATCGTTGCGACCAAAGACCGTTGCGACCAAATGGCGCAAAGTAAACTGCCATTCGAAAGCACCAAATGAAATAATTCATAAAAAAATTAAAAATAAAAGGAAAAACTGGACGGCACTGGCCGGCGGATCATCAGAAGCGGCAGAGATGTCACTCTGCATATGGACTCACCCACAACTCCTCCACGCCTACTCTTCTCCTTCTTTATTGGTAATCAAAACGACGTCGGTTGGTTGCGTTTTTGTGGTTGTCTCTTGCTGGTGTGTGTTTATATATTGGCATACATATTGCCAAGGGATCTGTACAATTTCTTGGCACTCCACTCCACTCTCAGTCCAAACACTCCAAGTGCTTCTTTGGGAGTTTAGCAAAAATTTGGGTGGAATTTTATGTTGCAGAAGTTGGGATTTGCTTTAATTAGTTAATTAGTGTCTATTAACACTGATTAGCAGATCATTACAAGCTTTTTCTTGGTAAGAAAATTTCTTGGTTTGAATTTTGTTTTCTCCATCTTCTATTGTGTTGTTAATGGTGCCATAATCTTTATGTTAGGTTTACACAAACACTTAGTGGTGTTTATAATGTAAACGCTAAACAGACAATAAACTGTATATAAACCAGGGGTTAGCGTCCCTTGATCATTTTTTTAGTATTCCTCCAGTTCTAATATCGATTAAGTGTTTGTAAATGGTTCTTTCTTGTGCACATTTTCATAATGCTTATGTCCTTATAAAATGGAAAAAGAAGGCAAATTTTGAGTTGAAGTAATGTTAGTGCAGGCTTCCTGTAAACACCTTCCTAGGTGGAGGAGTTGAGGATATAAGGGGAGTCCAAAATGGTGGTGGCCAAGTCGGTTGCCCTCGACGCAATCATCAAGGAAGCTGTTGATCTGGTATGTGTCATGTGGTACTATCAAGGTCTCTCTGCACATAATGTTGAAATTATTTCTCTTCAAATGAGTATTCATACTAGTTTCAAGTCTCAGAATAGCCTCTGATAGACATGGAACTGATTTATGCAGGAGAATGTCCCGCTGAGCGAAGTTTTTGATCATCTGAAATGCACGAGAGATGGTTTAAGCTCCGATGAAGTCCAAGAGCGGTTGGATTTATTTGGTTACAATAAGCTTGAAGAAAAAAAGGTGAGTAACTAAACTTGAAGCTTGTGAGTACCTCTCTATATTTCTTTGTTATGTTTACCCTGGTAATCCTTGCTCGTCTTCACTCCTCAATTGGTTGTTTTGATTTTCTGCTCATCCGTAGGAAAGTAAAATCTTGAAGTTTCTGGGATTTATGTGGAATCCTCTGTCCTGGGTCATGGAAGCTGCAGCTATCATTGCCGTTGCTTTTACACAAGGAGGGGTAAGCCTATAATATGACTCAACTCCTTTTAATTTTTCCCCTTACTTCGAATCATATGGGCGACAATTGAATAAGAAAATCTACGACACTTCAGTTTTGTTGAAAACTATATCCTTGCTTTAACATTTTTTGCTTATTCTCAAAATGTTTAATTCACATTAATGTTTCTCTAATATAATTAAATCTGCTAAAAGAAAAACCATTGTGATGATCTTCTTTATATTGCAATGAATTCTACAGATTCCAGATGTTGACATAACGTTAATTTATGCAGTCACAACCAGCAGATTATCATGATTTTGTTGGCATCCTTGTCCTCCTCGTTATCAATTCTACCATCAGTTTTATAGAAGAAAACAATGCAGGCAATGCGGCAGCTGCTCTTATGGCTCGTTTGGCCCCAAAAGCAAAGGTTTTTCCCTTCAAAGTTCACAGATTTATTTTCAATAAGTTATCGTTGCAGCCTGGCCTTCCCTTTCTTCTTTTATTTCTTGTTGAAGCTCTTGCCTACATTTCCTTTATTTGTATAGGTCAATGACTAATATTGCGTAAGATAGATTGGGATTGCTGAATGGTGAATATACTTTAGAGAATGAACTAGCCTTCTGAATGTTTACCAGGTCTTGCGCAATGGAAAATGGGCAGAAGAAGATGCTGCTGTATTGGTTCCTGGAGACATAATTAGCATCAAACTTGGTGATATCGTTCCCGCTGATGCCCGTCTTCTTGAAGGAGATCCTTTAAAGATTGATCAGGTAAATCACTAAAACATGATGTAGAATATGTATCAGTGTTTCTGAATTATACCTTTCTTGAATTAGTATTCTGTTTGTCACATGTAGTCTGCTCTTACTGGAGAATCGCTTCCGGTGACCAAAAATCCTGGTGATGGAGTTTACTCGGGATCAACATGCAAGCAGGGAGAGATTGAAGGGGTTGTTATTGCAACAGGAGTTCACACTTTCTTTGGAAAGGCAGCTCATCTTGTGGATAACACAACACATGTTGGCCATTTCCAGCAGGTTCATTTTTTTAGCCATTTTGTGCCGATTTTTGTGTCTGAACAGCTAGCACTCATGGAAGAATTTGTCCACTTCAGAGAAATAACTATTGTTGCATGTGCTCACTGGCAACAAATTTTAACAATGGTTTCATGGTTGCAGGTATTAACGTCAATTGGAAACTTTTGCATTTGTTCCATTGCCGTTGGGATGGCAATTGAAATCATAGTAATATACGGGATTCATGGGAGGGAATACCGTACTGGTATTGATAACCTTCTCGTCCTCCTAATCGGTGGGATCCCTATTGCTATGCCAACTGTTCTTTCTGTCACAATGGCCATCGGTTCACATCGTTTGTCCCAGCAGGTTCGTGATTGCGCATACTCTACTCGAGAGATTGATTTTGAACATGAATTTGAATGTAATTTTTCTTGATTTATATTTTAAATGTACCCAATATTGCATAATCGGAATCCATGTTTATGCAGGGTGCCATAACAAAGAGAATGACTGCCATTGAAGAAATGGCAGGGATGGATGTTCTATGCAGTGATAAAACAGGAACACTGACACTTAACAAGCTTACAGTGGACAAAATTATGATTGAGGTATTACACGTGGCCCCTTCAACTCACTTTAAAACTGCGCAGTGTAGCATATAAACATAGTAATTCACTTCACCATAAGAACAAGGTTTCGTAAATTCAGTCACTGGTACAGTTTACTGGAAAATGTACGGAGTGGTTTGATCAGAGTTAAATACCAATCTAAAGAATTTACACATTTATTAACTCGATGCGTCAATGAGAAAATACATCTTTTAGGTGATTAGTGAAGATCAAGGCAGCATAGTTTTGCTAATGCAAACACACCTCTCATCAAAATATATTAAAAGAACTTTTATTTACTAATTCTTCTCATATTATTCCTCTTGGGATAGGTTTTTGCCAAGGGCGTTGACAAGGATCAGGTTATGCTTATGGCTGCAAGAGCATCAAGGCTCGAAAATCAAGATGCTATTGATACTGCAATTGTTTCCATGTTGGGAGACCCTAAGGAGGTATTTGCAAATTAATCTTTCCAATTCTGTGATTTTTATTCTTATCTGTAGTTTTCGTTTGATACTCATGTAACCTTTATATAAACATTTTTAGGCACGGGCCGGAATCAGAGAAATTCACTTCCTTCCATTCAATCCTACCGATAAAAGAACTGCACTCACATACATTGATGCCGCTGGTAAAATGCACAGGGTCAGCAAAGGTGCACCAGAACAGGTAAAATACGAATATCAAAAATTTTCAATCAGTCGTGGAAACCTTAATGGTGCTTCCAGATTTTTAGAGCTCTAACCGAATATTATCTATGTAGATTCTTAATCTGGCACATAACAAATCAGCAATTGAGAAGAAGGTACACGCAATGATTGATAAGTTTGCAGAACGTGGACTACGATCCCTTGGTGTTGCTCTCCAGGTAGCTAATTTCATACGAATTCTTTCTTGTCTTATGAACATGACTTCTTTGTTTAGATTTAAGAGACGGAGAATGTCATTTCCTCCAGGAAGTACCTGCTGGAACCAAAGACAGTCCTGGTGGACCCTGGGAATTTGTTGGTCTTCTCCCTCTCTTCGACCCTCCTCGTCATGACAGTGCCGAGACAATCAGAAGAGCTCTGGATCTTGGTGTCAGCGTTAAAATGATCACTGGTATGTGCTACTGTTACTGCTCATTTTTTTCCTTGATATACGTTTCACCATAAGCTTATGAGATAATATGCTATCAATTAGAGATGTAACGTTCATGCATCACAATTTGTAGGGGACCAACTTGCAATCGGTAAGGAAACAGGAAGGCGGCTTGGGATGGGTACAAACATGTATCCTTCTTCAGCTCTGCTTGGTGAAAGTAAGGATGGGGATCTTGCTACCGTTTCCATTGATGAACTCATTGAGAAAGCCGATGGTTTTGCTGGCGTCTTTCCTGGTTAGTCTTGTTCTTTTAGTATGAAGCACTGTCGAGTTGACCTTTTTTAATATATATTTCTCATCATTTATTTTTCTTTAGAGCATAAATACGAGATTGTGAAGAGATTACAAGCTAGAAAGCACATCTGTGGAATGACTGGTGACGGAGTGAATGATGCCCCTGCCTTAAAGAAAGCTGACATTGGAATTGCAGTCGCAGATTCCACAGATGCTGCACGTAGCGCTTCTGATATAGTTTTAACAGAACCTGGATTGAGTGTGATCATTAGTGCTGTGTTAACAAGCCGTGCAATTTTCCAGAGAATGAAAAACTATACGGTAATCTCACAATTTCCGCAACATCCATAATTTACTAAGTTAAAGCTTTAGTTGTGTTACAACAAATGCTTATTTGCCTTTCTTATCTTTTCTTTCCCAGATATATGCTGTCTCAATCACCATTCGTATTGTGGTAAGTTTCACTTTCGAGTTATGATTTTTTACATTGGAACTTTTAGAGTGTTTAGTTTTTTGCTATCAGTCTTACCTAGCTTTCTGACATCAAGTTGTTCTACAGCTAGGTTTTATGTTGCTGGCTGTCTTCTGGAAATTCGACTTCCCTCCTTTCATGGTTCTTGTCATTGCTGTTCTTAACGATGGTTAGCTTTCGTTGTTTGATCTTTTTTATGCGTTAATGAATTTGTGCATGACTTCTTCTGTTCCATCGATCTGTTACTCTGTAATTTGTGTGCCTGCTCAATACCTAACTTGTTAGCTTGCTTACAGGTACTATCATGACCATATCCAAAGATAGGGTCAAACCATCTCCATTTCCTGACAGTTGGAAGCTCAGTGAGATTTTTGTAACTGGAATTGCCCTCGGTGGTTACCTTGGCCTAACTACTGTTTTGTTCTTCTGGATATCTTATGAAACCAACTTCTTTCCGGTAGATGGCCTCCCTTTTATCGTCATGTTGTTAAGAATTTAATGAAACTTCGAATTTTTGTGGTCAGGTACTAACATGCAGGGTGCCCTTTTAAACACTATGCATCGGCAACATGTCTGTTCAGTTAAAGAATAGATTACATGAGAGATGGGTTTGTCCTACATCGCTAGTTTATGACATGGATCTTTGTTCTTGCAGGAAAAATTTAACGTAAGAGACTTCAATAAACACCATTTTAACATGAAAAATAAGGATGAAGCTGCTATACTAAACGATCAGATGTCGTCAGCTTTGTATCTTCAAATCAGCACCATCAGCCAGGCCTTGATATTTGTCACTCGCTCCCGCGGTTGGTCTTTCGGTGAAAGACCTGGCTTTTTGCTTGTCATTGCCTTCATCATCGCTCAACTGGTACTGAATAGTTCTGCCTCGGTAGTAATTCCGATGTTTAGAAACATTTGTTGACATCCAATAATTATTTGCAGATTGCGACAGTTATATCCGCAACAGCAACGTGGAAATTTACAAAAATCAGAAGTATTGGTTGGGGCTGGACTGGTATAATTTGGATGTACAATATCGTCATTTACATGCTGCTTGATCCTATCAAATTCGCTGTCCGTTACGCACTCGGTGGAAAGGCTTGGGGTTTAATAGTAGACCAAAGAGTGAGAATCCGACTTCACCTTGATCACTTAATCATTGTAATCTCCTTTGTTAAGACTGATTAATCTGATGTGCTTTTATCCATCTTACCAGACCGCATTTACCAGCAAAAACGACTTTGGGAAGGAAGCTCGTGAGGCTGCGTGGGCAACTGAACAGCGAACGCTGCATGGCCTCCAATCTCGCGAAACAAAAAAGTTTACAGAGAAGGGCACTTTTAGGGACATTAATCTCATGGCCGAAGAAGCTAAAAGGCGGGCAGAGATTGCAAGGTAACCTTTTGTTCATCTTCTTTTTTCTACTACCGAAGATTACAATGGCATTACTAAGATTTCTTTGTATTGTGCAGGTTGAGGGAGCTTCACACTCTGAAGGGAAGGGTTGAGTCATTTGCCAAGCTGAAGGGTATAGACATTGATGCCATCAACCAAAACTACACCCTCTAGTCGCTGTTCTGGATTACACATGTTTTTCAATGTATTCTTTTACCAATACGAAGTCCAAGCTGGGTTTTAAATAAGGTTGATGCTGTTGACAAATGATATTTATATGACGTGTGAAATGAAATTGCATTTATTTAAAACATGTCTCGGTATGAAGATGTTCTGCTTGTCAAGTTTAGCGTAAAAGAACAAATAGAAATATTGTGTAACCAAATAAAGCCTCTTCATTAATTGCACAGAATAAGGACTCCAAATGTCAATTAAAACAAGATCCCAATATTTCCTCAACACCAATTAACTCGTTGACCATGTTACTTGATTGCCAAGAAATAAAAATCATATCCATTGACACTCACAATCTTACACCTACTTCATCAGTTCCCCAAGTACAAGGGAAGGAACAAGTTGGACTTTATAGAAATCCTCTCCTCCTTTATTAAGCCTACTAAAGAATCTTTTAGGCATGATGTTTGAGTGGATATATAATGATGGGCTTAGTGCGATTAGAGGCCTAAGAACACAAAAGGTAGAAGGAGAATTGCGCTCGGACAGTTGGCAGCCTAGGAAGAATTGAAAATCATTTTTTGCCAAGAAATAGGCAACAATCCTATGTGAGAAGTGACATACAAAGGGTAGCTCACCCCCAGCAAAAAGTACTTTTCAAGGGCATGGGTAGGTAAATAAACCGTGACTCACCATGCTCTGGAGGCCATCACCAAAAAGGGGAGGCTTGGACAGTCGGGCTAAAGAGTTTATAAAAGCAACGAAGGACACACGAAAGAAGGACACTCAACCAATCAATCAAAAGACATCCAACTTCTCACCCCAACAAGTAAGAAACCAAAAAGGTTTAGTTTGTTCATACTTTACCCTTTTAGTCGCAGGTCCACCATAGAATGCCATCTTTTGTCAAATTTTAGAAGCTTACTACCTTTCCCTTGTGTTGTAGTATCAAATCCCTTTAGTACACAGGTTTATATTTCATTCTCCAAAGATTAAAACCCCTGTAAAACACAAAGGGTAGTGGTTGCTGTAGACATTGAAATTTCAGTGAAATGAATGTTGACTAATAATTAAAATTTCAACGCTCACATGTCACATAAATTTACACATAGCGTGTGACTCAATGAAAAATCAAAATAAATCGGAAAAGTCATCAAATAGGACATATGTCAACACCTGGCAGAAATGATTTATTTCATCTGAATATTATATTCAAAATTAGGCCTTGAAAATTTCTATAAATAGAAGCCAATTTCATACATTTCATTTAACCAATTCACATCACACCAAAACCTTGAAGCTTTGAAACTCTAAAGCTCTCAAGCAAATCCCGAAGGATCAAGAAAGCCCTCTTCGTTCTTCGTCAAATCCTCCTTCAAGGTCAAGCCCCGACAACCCTTGAAGAAAGTGTTCATTGTTCAACATCCGTTCATCCTAAGATCAAGCCCCAACAGCCTTTTGGATCAACAACATCAACAAATCCGCACACCCGTTCTTCAAGATCTAGCCCAAAAGCCCTTAAAGATCTGTTCATCCTAAGATCAAGCCCCGACATCCCTTTGGATCAACAATATCAATAAATCCGCATAACTGTTCATCCTGAGATCAAGCCCCAACGACCCTTTGGATCAACAACATCAACAAATCCACACACCCATTCTTCAAGATCAAGCCCAAAAGCCTTTGAAGATCCGTTCATCAACCCTTCATCCTAAGATCAAGCCCCGACGACCCTTTAGATCAACAACATTAATAAATCTGCATAACTGTTCATCCTAAGATCAAGCCCAACGGCCTTTTGAATCAACAACATCAACAAATCCACACACCCGTTCTTCAAGATCAAGCCCAAAAGCCCTTGAAGATTCGTTCATCAACCATTCATCCTAGGATCAAGCCCCGACGAACTTTTGGATCAACAACATCATTAAATCCGCATAACTGTTTATCCCTAGACCAAGCCCCGACGACCCTTTGGATCAATAGCCATCCACATATCTACATTTTACAAAGATAGAATCAGAGGCTAAAATGGTAAAAGAGATTGTAACCCCAAAATCAATACAAATATTATTTTGTACATGTGTTCTTGTTTCAAGAAAATTCGTGTTTACAAATTTGGCACGCCCAGTGGGACAATCTCTACTTCTCATCTCAATCTTCAGATCCGCAAGAAGACAAAAATGGCATCAAGGAAAGTTCAAGTTGTTCCTGCAACCAATGCGAAAAACAAGAACATCCTCGCCGCAAGTGTTGTCACTTTGGGCAATACAACTCGAAGCAAGGCAAAAGCTCTTTCTACCACCTCTTCCACTTCTGCATCAACTTTGCCAAAGGAACAAGAACACCTGAGGCACAATCCTGTGATCACCCTGGCCTCGCTAAGGGGGCCAAGGGAGGAAAGGCCAAGGAAATACTCCAAGTCCATGCCTTCTGATGCCGACTCAAGTGGCAGCTCAGCCATGCAAGTCATGACCACTGGAGCCACTTCAATTGATGAGCAGCTGGCTCGAATGAATGAAGCGATCGCAAGGCTAACAAGGACGATGGAAGAAAAAGACTTGCAAATCGCTGCACTCGTCAACCGACTAGAGACGCAGGATAACGAGAAAGGTTAATCCACTAAAAAGATGAGCCAATGAAAAAGAGGAGCCTTTAGTAGAGAAAAGTCAAAGAAGAACAGGAGCCAAACCAAGTGGTAACACTCATGGGATCTCTTTCTATCCATCAGCTGCATGAGATGATCACTGACACCATCAAGGCACAGTACGAAGGGAGCTCACACACCTCCATGTTGTACTCGAAGCCTTACTCTAAGAAGATTGATGCCTTGAAGATGCCGAGGGTTTATCAACTGCCAAAGTTCATGCAATTTGACGGAAAGGGAACCCAAAGCAACATGTCGCACATTTCATTGAAACTTACAACAATGTTGGGACGGAGGGAGACTACCTCGTCAAACAGCTCGTACGCTCGCTGAAAGGTAACTCTTTTGACTGGTACACCGACCTCGAGCCCGAGTCTATGAACAATTGGGATCAGCTAGAAAGGGAATTTCTTAACCGCTTCTACAGTACTCACTGCACTGTAAGTATGCTGGAGCTAACTAGTACAAAACAGTGGAAGGATGAACCTATCGTCGACTACATCAATAGATGGCATTCATTAAGTCTGGATTGCAAAGATCGGCTTTCTGAAACCTCCGCCATTGTGATGTGCGTTCAAGGCATGCATTGGGGGTTACAGTACATCCTTCAAGGCATAAAACGAAGAACATTTAAGGAGTTGGCAACTCGTTCCCACAACATGGAATTGAGTATCACCAATCACGGGAAAATGAGCCGATCACTGAGTTTAAGAAAGATAAGGTGTTTGCCCCAAATGCGGACAAAACTGGGAAGAAGCTTGCCAAAGAAGCTTTTATCGTCAACACTACCCCCATCAAGACCTCATCTGTGCCCATCAAGATCTCCTCTAAGAACAAAGCAAAGGAGACAAAGAAAGGTGAGCCTTCTCGCACCTAAGACAGGTATAAAGGCGCTTTGAGGGAACTGGAGCATAAGACGTACCCTTTTCCTAACTTTGACATAGCTGCAATGTTGGATGACCTGCTGGAAAAGAAGGTGATCGGGCTACCCAAATGCAAGCGTCCTGAAGAGATGAATCGTGTAAACGATCCTAGGTATTGCAAGTACCATCATATTATAAGCCATCCTGTTGGCAAGTGCTTCGTCCTCAAAGAGTTCATCATGAAGCTAGCACAACCAGGACAAATTGAGCTCGACCTTGAAAACACGGCCGCAACGCTTACTACTACAATTACATTTAGATCATTCAATCCTGTGCTTCTCCAAGTGACATCTGACCATTCCCATCAATGCTCAAGCTGCACGACACCTTATGGACGACCATCACTGGGGGCAAGCGACTAAGATGCACATGCCGATGATGAAGAAGGATAGACATTGGTGACCTATAAAAAGATAAGGAAGCCAATATCGCAAACCACAAGGCCAAATGGGGAGCAAGGGAGATAGCACCACCGTCGCAATAATAAGAAGCCTAAAAGAAATGTAAAAGCTGCTAAGCCAACATATGTTGGGGAACCTATGGAGCAAGAACCACGCATTCCCATCTCCTTGCACGAATACTTCCCAGAGGACTTCTTCTAACAGTGCATTATAGCTGCGTGTCACATGGTCGAAGTGGAAATGGAAGAACCCTCAAAAGGCAAAGTCACCGCCATCAAGGAAGAAAAGACACTCACACCCAAAGAAGGTTTGCTACGCACTTTAGCATCGAGGAAATGCTATGATTGCCAAAGAAGATGCGAAGAGCACTAGCAGCGATCTTGGTAAGTCTTGATGACCATGAAGTACAAGAAAGCAACGACGAAGGCTTGAAGTTTCAGCCACATGAATGTGCCACATGTTGTGCCACCCATGACATAATCAACTTCACTGATGAAGAATTACTGCTAGGATCAAAGCCTCACAACCATCCTTTATTCGTCTCGGGGTACGTAAAGGAGCATAAAGTTAACCGCATGCTTGTAGATGATGGGTCAGCCACAAACATCATGCCAAAGTCAACAATGACCACAATCGGCATCAAGGTGGATGAATTGTCCCTAAGTCGTTTACTGATCCAGGGTTTTAACCAAAGAGGACAAAGAGCGATGGGCATGATTCGAGTGAAGATGACCATTGGTGAACTCAAATCAAGCACGATATTCCACGTGATTGATGCAAGAACTTCCTACAGCTTGCTCCTAGGAAGACCTTGGATCCATGAGAATGGAGTAGTGTCATCCACCCTCCACCAATGTTTAAAATTCTACCGAGAATGAGTAAAGGTGATCCAAGGTGATACCAAGCCATTCATCAAAGCTGAATCACACTTTGCAGATGCCAAGTTCTACATGGATGAAGACATGGTGGTCAAAGCTCTTCCAGAAGAGATCAAATCCATGGGCAAAGTAGCACTTAAAAAATAGAAGTGGCCAGCCATGCCCAAGAAGCAAGAAGGGCAAGCCGCACCATCTTCAAGCTAAAACGATGACGAGCCCGCTAAACTTGCAACAACTAAAGGGAGTAGGACTCCTTCAAAAGGACCGAACACACCCATATTTCGATACATACCGATATCAAGAAGAAAGAATGGTCAATCCTTATTCGAAACTGGAGCAAGCAAAGCCGAGACACAGTGGTTGGAGAACCTATTCATACCATAGGAGAACAGATTGTGGTGTGACACATAAGACACCATATTGGTAGTACGTTCAACTCTCTTTCTTTTCTTCCTTTTCATTAACTTTGGAGCTGACATTGCGCCAAAGTCAGACTGCTGTATTTGGGGATACTTTGCAAGCTGTGAATCATATTTTCGGTCCTGAGACTGAAGTTCCTTAATCTTCAATTCTAACCATTTCAAGCGCCACACAAAAGGACGTACAAACTTATCCCAATGAGTGGTCAACCTTTTCTTCCTAAACAATAAGACAAACACATAAAACCATGTCAATGTCACATGTAAAATACAGTTAGATCTATAGTGGGCACAACCTTAAAAAGAACGAAACAAGTATATCCTTGAACTCAGAATAATTTGGCAACTATGCCTCCTTTTTATTCATGATGGAATTGATGTTCAACGAAGTGGTAACAAAGTTTAATAATGTAGCTGACCGGCAACATACTGCTAGTCGACCAGCTATCTCACATCCCTCAAAGCGGGACCCTGTTCCTTAAGATTTTCACCAAAAGATATGCATACAAGCCAGAACATGAAGGAATGAGTGGAACTATCCCCATCCAGTACCTAGAGATAAGCATTCACCTCATTCATTCCCATCCCCCTTTTCCACGGCAATGCAGGTTTGAACCCAGCCAACTAGGCCTAACTTTCAATCCATACGATTTACTAAGTGAGCAGTCACAGACTAAGAAAATGTTACCGGATAGACAAGATTTAAGTAAGAAATATATAATTGTACCTTACGTTTGTAATTGTATGCTAGGCGTGATATCTTAAATGCTACCGGATAGACAAGATTTAAGTAAGACATACACAATATAACTCAAACCAAAATGTACCTTGTTTCAAATTCACCAAAATATCCATCATAGAATGAAGCGAGCTTATTTCCATGGAACAGCGACTGAACTTCATCACCATCGGACATATAACCATTCTCTGCCCCTGAAGTTGTGTAACCAAAAGAACTCGAAACCTCTGTCAAATCCACGCATTCACTTTGCACGATCTGCACATCATTGGGACTTGTAAACCCAGTTCTGTCCTCGTTTTCCCTTATATTTGATGCAGTAGTTTGTCCAACCAATGGTGCTTCCACATCAAAGATGTTATCTTTATAGTTACTCACACAAGGCATAAACGTATTTTCAAGGTCTCGATTATTACTTCCATCCTTGGCAACTGAAAGTTCCATTGCAGCTCCCGACTTCTATTTCAGCTCTAATTCAGGGCCCATCCTGCAGATTCACGCAAAAAAGAATCCGTCTTTTCAGAAATAAAAAAATAATTCAATTGGGATTTTAAGGGATTTTAATAGATTTATAGATCCATGAATTTTGATGGAGTTTAATTGATTTGTAGAGATTCCATGCAAAATTTTGAATTGATTCTCTCGTAATATCACGGGGAGAGGTGAGATTTTTTATTGCCTAAAATACACATCAAAATCTCTCCAATTTCCTCGAATTCCTCAACTTTTTCAAATCCTTTAAAATCAATTCCTAATAGAATACACCTTGAATTTCTAAGGATTTTAAGGATTTTAAACTTCTTTAAAATCCTAACTGAATACACTCGAATTTCTAAAGATTTTAACCCGATAGAATACACTTTGAATTTCGGAGAATCACTTAAAATCTTGATTGAATACACCCCTATTCAATCTATAACAACAAGACAACCTCTCCCATATCCTTCTGGTTTGTAAGTAAAAACTCAATCACGTTTAATTGACAAAAACCCACATAATCTCACCAACAAGTTAAGAAACAACAGATAAAAAAATCAATGTAAGTGCTAATTATTAAAAAAAAAAATCGACAATACCGTCAAACACATTAAACAAAACTCAGACTCTTGGGAACCAGAGAATTAAATAAATCACAAAATTCTCTACCGCAAAATTCAACACCAAATTTCGAAAAATTAGGAAAAAGAATTCAAAAGGCTGTCTTTATACAAAACGCACACAAATTAAGACGCTGAATTGATAAAAAATAAAAAATAAAAATAAAAAAAATTCTAATTTCAATACAAACTATAGAACCCTAAACCCTGGAAAATATATCAGAAGAGAGAGAGAGAGAAAGAGCAACCTGGCTTTGCAGAAATCTTTAGTCTGTAAGAGCGAGAAGGAGCATTTCACCGCCGGTGTAGTTTAGCGTCGGTGCGGGTGACCATTAGCGAGACGTGCCGAAGTCGATTGGTTTGGAAGGCAAAGATTCTGGGTGGACTGTTTCTCGCTCCGTCAAAGTGGCACACAGTTGCTCTCCCTCTCTCTCTCTCTCTCTCTCTCTCTCTCTCTCTCTCTAGTTTCTCTCTCTATTGAAATTGAAGGGGGTATGTGATCAAAACTTGGGAGAAAGATTCTCGCGCGGATCCTTTTTCAAGCATACAGATTCTTCGATTATATTCGATCATCGTACATTGTGAAGTCAGTTTTTATCATTTATCATTTATATTCAATTTTAAATAAAAAATCTACAATGATTTCTGATCGTACAATGTAAAATAAACAAATATAATTAGAGAATTAGGCGAATATCATCTGAAATACTTGGGACGCGCGTGTGGGTACAAATTGAAAAATTGATGAATTGGCATGTGTTGTCCGTCCTAATTGGTTAATAAGGTTTATTTATACATGTATCAAATTATTAATGAAACTTGTTTTAAAAAGGTCATTTTCACTGTATTTTGATTTCTTAACGGATGGTTTTGTGCTACATATTAATATTTCATGTTTTGCTCTTGTTTGAAAATCTTCACCTGTTGTCTTACAGATGTACAATTTGCGATCATGTCAACTCTTTAAGAAATAACAATTTACTTCAATAATTTTTGTTTTTGTTGACACTTTTCTATAGATTACTTCTAAAGTCATCTACGTATCCTATTTTCTTACCCACTATTTAACCTTTTGTAAAGTAACTTCTAAGCCTTAATAAAAAGCCATAAAAACAAAATGCAAAAGAAAATGAAAAAGAAAAGAAGCCTAGAACCTCTATTCTCTTCCTTTCCTCTTTTTTTCTCTTTCACCCCTACCCTCTTCCTTTTTTTTCTTCCAAATCAACTCTACCTCTATTACTGATAGTTGCTAGGTAAGATTTGCAACGGATATGTTGAGGGGTTTCAATTCTTGACAATAATCTCCAAGAGTGTGAAAATCTCATAGGTCTTGATATTGACAGTCTTTAAGTTTGGATTTGGTAAGAAAGAAAGAAAGAGAGAAGAGAAAGTTGAAAAAACTAGGCTAGCAGCGAGGGGAATGCCGATAGGTGTAGTGGTGAGTTTGGTTGATGTCGGCTAATGAGTTCCCACCCTACGTGGTTGAATTTGTGTTTTTTTCTCCATCTTCAGTTTGTTTTAAATCAAAAAATAGGAATACTTTCAGAATAATAGTGAGTAAGAAGTGAGGATTAGATTTTTGGGAAATACCCCAAAATGAGACAATTTCTTAATCTTGGGACAGAAATAGGACAAACCGGTCATGCACACGCCACACCATGCACAAAACCAAAATTACTAAGATACCCACATATAAATACTAAATATCATTAGCCTATTGCATCACTGTTCTCATTTGGAAGAGAGGGATGTTGAGAGAGCTCTGTGAGATCTAGGTTTCTGGGTTGAGCTTCGATTTTGAAGAGAGCGAAGTCCAAGGAGATGCAAGAAGAGTGAGCTGAGTTTTGGGTTGACCTCATACCTCTGATTTCTAACAAAGGGATGCGAGAGAGAGGTGAGAAGAGTGAGGTGGGTTTTGTACCATATTTTCTATTTTGGCCAAAAGTTCCATTTTTTTCGGCGACTAAAGCTTCGGCAAGCATAAAAGGTAAGGTATTTACTTCCAAGTTCTTTCATCAATGATTTATGGAATAAATGGGTTGTTTGTAAGAACAATTAAACTTAGAAGTTAAATTAGGGTTTGTGATTCATGTTGGGGCGTATGGGTTGTGGAATAAATTTCAAGTTTTGACGTGCTACAAAACTGCAATGGGACAATTTCTGGTTTAAGTGTTCAATTGCAGAAATTTGTGAAATTTTTTCTGTAATGTGCATGTGGTGTGCTTATGGTGTGCATGGCTACATCTTAATATGAGAAGTGGGAATGTTCACTAGTTATGATCGCATGTATGTTGTGCCTTGGAATTTAGCAAGTACGACCACAACCTACTTGGCCTCAATGAAAATCAAAATTAAGAAAAAACTTAGAGGACAATAAAGGTCATGCTTGCCATGTGCACGGAAAAGTGGTAGTTGATATACGCAACAAGACTTTTCAAACTGTCACTATAACCTTATATTGGCATTAGTAATCTAGGAACTAGGAATGTGAATATTGTGTAAATATTAGAGTCCTTTATTAGGATGTTGTCTCTTTGTGTCCTTTTTTGTTTCCTTGGAGAACAAGGATTGTATGTAATTATATACCAAATTATGCAATACATGAAAATTAAGTTGTAAATTTCTATTTGGCATCAAAGCTGAACCGTAACCGTAAAACCAAGTTCTACAGTGTTGTTGCTACTGGCGTATTCAATCTTGTAAAGTCGTGTTCCTTCATATGTTGAGTGCAATAAACCAAAGTTGCAGGAGTACTTCTTGCGTGTGTATTGTGCTACGTTGTTATGGCAGAAGGTGATGAGAGCTCGAAACTAAAGTTTAAGAGTAATGCAACACCCAACAATTTAATTTTGAGTCCCATAGTAATACAGAGCGGTGCTGCTAGCGTACCAAGTGTCGTAAAGCTTAATGGATCAAATTATCCCCTTTGGTCCAAGGTGTTAGAGATGCATATTGTTGGGCATGGAAAAAGGGGTTCGTGACGGAAAATATCAAGGAACCCAAGGAAAAGAGTGCAGAGTATGAAACATGGGAAACTAGGACCGTTATTGTGAAATGGTGGTTGATTAATTCCATGGATCCTACTATCATGGGTTTTTTTATCCATCTCCGTACTGCTAAGGAAGTGTGGGAAGAAGTTGCTCGAATGGATTATGATGGGTTTGATATCTCTCATATTTATGAATTAAAGGTAAAGTCGTTCCGACTTCGACAAGAAGGGCGGCCTATTGGTGTATACTATGTCGATCTTAAAGCGGTCTGGCAAGAACTGGATCAAAGAAGACCAATCAAGATGGAATGTGTTATTGACTTAAAGACATTTCGAGAAGAAATCCAATTGGATTGTGTCTATGCTTTTCTAGCAAAACTTGATAATATATTTGATAAGGTACGTAGTGATGTTTTGAGAACTCAACCTTTACCATTCGTCGAAGAAGTGTTTTTTGTTGTTAGGTGAAAAGCACAGTGCTATGCTACTATGATGGAAGGAAGTAACATAGGTAATCAAGGAGGAACCCCGACACCCTCTGTGGTTATGGTGTCACGGCCAGCCTCTTCTGGCCAATCCTATGGCTCATCGTATTCAACAATTTCTCGTCCATTCTCTCGAGAAAATAAAAATGATTTAAAGTGTCCTTTCTATGGTCAAATTCATCATACAAGAAGATACATGTTTTAAAAAACATGGAGTTCCTAAATGGTTCCCAAAATTGAAGAAAATATTGCATGCAGATGAGCGAGCTGCTATTGGAGCAATGGGAGTCTTGCGTCCATAGCTGCTACTGCACCTGCTAACAAGGAGGTTGTGCTCACTCAAGGAGATCTAAGTCAGACTTTGTTGACTAGGACTAATCTTAGTGAATCATGGTCCAATACAATACAAGTACCGTTGGACATGTTCTTTTAGCCTCCAACACTGAGCATCATACAGGTTGGATTTTGGACTCTGGTACAACTGATCATATGACATTCGATAAAAATTTATTTACGTATATTACAACCACTCATCGACAGTTTGTAGCAACGAAGAATGGCACCATTGCCAAGGTTATTGGGGCTGGTATCGTGGACCTCTTGCCGTCCCTCTCTCTTCAACACTACCTACTTGTTCCATCATTGTCTCATCATTTATTATCTATCCCTCTAGTTACTGAGTAATTAGATTGTGTTATACTTATGTATCTGTTTTTTTGTTTACTTCAGGATATTCAGACCAAGGAGATAATTGGGTGTGGCACTAAGAGAGAGGGGTTGTATTATGTGGCCTGACAGAGCTAATGCAATTCGAGCATCCCGTACTAGTAATCTGCAAAAAGTTTGGTTATTGCATCATCAGTTAGGACATGC